AAAAACACGCAATAGATTACATCCTGAAACAGCTAAAGCAAGCCTTTGTTTAAAGAGTTGGATTCAAAATGGATTATTGAAGGACAAATTAAATAAGGAAATTGAAAAAAAAAGTGGAGGGTCGGAGGGTGAAATTATAGTAGTTGAAGATAATTAGTATAAATTGAATATATAGAGTAATTGTAATTTTGAAATTTAATGAACATTATTCAATAAATATTTTTTCGCGGCATTTAAATTTTATTTGTTTAAAAATTTTTTTTGTTAGATCGACGGTCTAAAAGACCGGTCTAAATTAAAAGACCGATGATCTTATGAGACCATTGGTCTCGGTCTCAATCCAATCTTTTTCAAAAGACTGCTAAAGATCAGACCGGATCGGATCAGATCAGACCGTTCCCAACCCTAATTACGAGAATACTTTATCTATTGGTATATATTATTAAAAAATAGCTATATTCTTACTAGAATATATAGTCACATACATTCGAGACATGGATTTGCCAAAATTTTATAAAATAATCGACTAATGAAAGAAATAATATTTTTTTGCTCACTTCTTGGTAGATAATTCAGAGGTTTTCATGAGTTAAAAGCCCTCATCCATATACTTCTGTCTCATCTGATAATTCAGTGCATGAAATCTAGCAGAGTATTTGGAACAGCATCCCGTAGTAGAAGCAGTAGAAAATCTACAAACAAGACATGGTTTTTTTCCAAATTTTTTCATGTAATGCCTAATGTTTTGCACAGCCAATAGTACGAGTACAGACTCTTCTATAAATAGTACTATTTCTCTTGATATGTGAGCAAGTAACACAATCTATGTAAGTATTTTAGGATATAGAAACCTTTCACTTTTATTGCGGATTAATTTTATAATAAATGTGTATTTAAATTATTCAGTAGTAAAATAAGACATAAACATCTTTTCATACTAACGCTATAGACATAATGCAAAGAACAGTACTCAATATACTAACCAGCTGATGGGTCGATCCAAATTGAAAGTTAATCCAAGAAGGTTACAGATATGCTGATAGGCTTTTGGATTATTTAGACAATATTGGGATTATGGATATTAGTAAATTCAAATTAGACATCTTAGTCAACTTTTACCATCCAGCCCTAATTCTACTTTTATCTATTCTAGCTAATAGATCAGATATTTGTAAAAGGTTTCCTATTAGTGTAGAATCTACTGTAATAGGAGGAGTGAGTCTATTTACTCTAGAAAAAATAAACGATCCTCACTTCAGAATTCAATCCAAATGAATTATTCCAGTGATAGCTTGTCTACATTAATAGGAATATCTTGGGAGCATAAAGAAACAAAACAAAAGCTTGGAGAAATGACATATTTATAAAACTCCTATATCACCCAAATTTAACTCCTTCAAGGTATAGATCAGATACTTTATATGATGCATTAATCAAAACAGATGTTTTAAGACCAGAGCATATAATAGCTCTAGTGCGAATATTTTACTAAAATGTATTTACAATGCAAATAAATCAGTACATAGCCTTGGGATGGGGATCCCATGACTATATATTTTTTTTCACATATCATATCTATCTGCAGATTTCAAATCAATGAAATATACTTTTTGACTAGATCATAGGTTATATTATTTTTTTTCGCTTATCTAACCTTTCACTGATCATTAACGGGTTCTAGAGGATTCATATAGTAAATTATCATAAATATTTTTTTTGAATTGAAAATAAACATATTAATATAACTAGGTAGTACTTACAATCTGGTTATTATTATCATGGCTATTAAAACAAGCGTTCCAAAGACCTGAAAGCCTAAAACTAATAACTTTGTTCTAATTCTGAAACAGTTCTTAAAACAATATAACTTATCTGATAAGTCTATCCTAGAATAATTAAGCAAACATGCTCCTAAATTTGGCACTTCACTCCTAGACTGGAAGGCCTGTAAGTGTGTTAAAGATACCCTTGCCTGACACTGAAAACAGATGTGCATTTAGTAAAGAACAGATAGAAGTTCTTGTGTCAGATCAGAAAAAGAGTAACGGTAAGCTCACCATAGAGGAAAGAGCAAAATATTACGTTAAAAATGGTGATACTTTGGACATTTTCGCCCATTATTTAGATTTAGGCCCAAAAAATAATGATGAAAATGAAATAATTGCTAGTTTTTCACACCAGTCACAATTCCATGTGAAATTAGAAGAAGCGGAGGTAAATCCTGAAATCATTAAATTTTGTGTCAAAGATAAGGATTATATCCAAGAATCTAATAAAATTCAGAAAAAGCGAACAAAGAAACGAATTAAAGATGGTATAGCAATTGATTTCAAATTTACAAAATGTTGCAACATATGTTACAACATTATAAGTTGCAATATATATAGGTTAAAACCAATTGCAACATAAGTTGCAACATTAAAAGTCGTAACATATTAATTACAGTTCCCATCTTTAAAACGAATGGCTAAAGCGCCAAGGATTCCAAAACATTTCTCCCTAGCAAACATTCAAAAAAGGATTCAGAATATGGATGTTACTAAAACTCCTACTAGAGAGGATCTTACAGATGTTATTATAATGTTGAGTATGAGACCTGCGGAAGTAAGATCTTTTCAGATTAATCATTATGAACTGGATTTATCGAAAATACTGGAATGGTATAAAGAAGATTGTTCTTGGTATTGCATAGGTTATCTCAAAAGCAGAGGAGAAAAGAAGAAAAATTCTGTATCCCGTTCATTTCTTTCTATAGAGAAGAATTCAGAACGTGTAAAGGAATTGCTCACCTGGATTCAAGAGGCAATTAAGGCTAAAAAAATATGTGATCCCGTTTATACTAAAAGCAGAACATGTAATGATACACCTTTTAACAAATTCTTAAGTCACAAGCCTTATAAATCTCTTTCAGGACAGTTAAGAGATTATGAAAAAAGACATGCTTCCATAATCTATGGTGGTAAGAATCCAACTCCTGAATATCTTAAATATCTTTCAAGAGTCACACTGAGACAAGAATCAGATCGTCTTAATGCAGGGGATAATTACACTATAGGAATACAGAATCAGAAGACTCTAGTCTCGAAGATGAACATAACTCAGAACCAGAATCAGAGTTTGCAAAAAATGATGAAATATTTGATATTATCAATATGTATAGCTACTAGTAACGCACCTTCGCTAAATTTTGCTAGATTTTAAAATCTATAATTGAGGGTATTTTTTTCCTTATTCTATTCATCTGCAAATTTCAAATTGGCTGTAAGAGCTTGTACTAATATATTTATTATTAGCATAGATATCGCAAAAGTAATCCCAAAGACCCAAAGGAAACTTAAAGCTAATAACTTTAAATCGATTTTAGAACAGTTCTTAAAAAAAATATGGCTTATCCACTAAGTCTACTCCAGAACAATTAAGTGAACATAATAAAGAGCTTGATGCATCATTACAGGATCAGAATGCCTGAAAATGTATTAAAGATCTCCTAACCAGACACAAATATAGTAAAGATAAGAAAGAGGCTTTTCTATCTGATAAGAGAAAGAAAAAATTAACTATAGAGAAAAGGGCAGAATATTGCGCTAAAGCTGGTAATAAATGGAATATTTTCTATTATAATATGGAATTAGGATCAAAAAATAATAATAAAAAAGAAATTATAGCATCCGCCTCATGTTAATATCAATTTCGTGAAAATTAGCAAAGGCTGGAGTGGATCCTAAAATTATTAATAACTATGCCAAGGATCCAGACCTTATTCGAAAATCCAATAAAATCCAAAAAGAGCGTCATCAGATACGTGAACTTTTCAATGAAGACTAATCATTTATTAATTTATTTTTTTGCTCAAGGTATATAGCGTATATAATATATCACAAAAATGGTAACTGATCAAAAGCATTCATCTAATAATACAGATATTGAGCAGGAAGTTATCAGATGTACAGAGAAAATAGCCAAATTACTTGGATCTGAATAAAATGTAAATATGTATAGTATACTTTCCGTTGAAAATAGAATACTAAAAAAACAATTGGAAGATTATCATTCTCAACCTAATACTTTAGAAAGGAGGGTAAAAATATTGGAGAAAAATGTGAGATCCTTAAAAATCGAATTAAAAAATCTAGACGAATGTGTAGATAGGAAAACTGTAATCAACTTAATACAAGAAATAGCTTTCTCACCAAAGATCAAAAAATGTAAGGATTCCTCCTATTCATCTGAGTCTTCTGAAGATTCTGATTCAATTGAGATAATTCAGGTAAGAGATAAAAAGACTGTTTCTCATAAGTAACGAAGAAAGGCATAATGAAGAAAGGTTAAACAGTTTGTAGTTTGAAGTAATAAATTAGCCAATCAGAATGAATGATGATATACACTATCATTCTAGGACACCAGATTATTCTGTAACGCTTGTGGATAGATTTATTTATTATTTTTGAATATTATATACCATAATAAAAAATGATGATTGTGAATTGTGTAGTCGAAGACAATATCCCTATTAAGGCATCAATTGATACGTTCACTGATGTAAATTGCATTAACCAAAAATATATTGGTGAATTAGGAATTACATATCACAGTGAAAGCAATAGCATTGTAATTCCAGATGCATTTTATTCTATATTAAGAAAAGTCAATCTGCATATTGGTTTTGAAGATAGCGAGAAGTATAAAAGCATATCCGTTGAATTTATGGTTCTTAGGTCAGATTGGCCAAGTCCTGATTTAACCTTAAGAATGCCATAGTTATGAGAAAATGGTGTAACTTTGAATATATATAATTCAAAACTATTATTAGACGATAATTTTGTGATCCTATTCGAAAAAGTTGACTATATTTCGATATTATCTAATAGTCAAATCTGAACTATGACTGATTTTTCCAACCCAACTGATAGCCCTGAGTAGTGATTATCTGCTCAGAAGATTTTTTCCAATTGAAAGATATTATATGCTATAATAAAAATGGATACAGTTAATTTACTAGAATGACTTCTGCTACCTTGGAAACGAGACTTAAAAAATTCTTGCAGTATAAATATTATATGGGAAAGTGAGACAAATCTTGAATGGTTCAAAAGAAAGACTCTTTTCGATTTTCATACTATGTCATTGATTCAAGGCAAACATACAGTAAGGATTTTTATTCGAAGCTGAAAGAGTGTAACAAGAGTTTCAGCTATAGTGAAAATTTGCTTAAATGCGTATTATTAAAAGGATTATCACATGAGAATAAGTTTAAAGTTTTTATAGATAGTTTACAGGTGTTTGCATTAGATGAGATAGTGGAAAGACTTAGTCCAGATCAGTAATTGCGTAATTTTATTTTTTCGTTTGAAGATATAACATATAATACAGACTATTTATGACGCAATTAAGAATTTTATCATACCAGAACTATTAGAACAGATTTTACATTTTTTAGCAATAGATAAATCTCTCTATCCCACTCTATATGTTTCCCGATTGTGGTATAAATGCTGTGCACCTATTCTGTGAAAGCGTATTGAATTGAGAGGAAAAGACTTATATCCTGGGCAATCTCTTCCAAATGATTATAATTACTGTGCAAAGGATCACCTTCGATTAAATAAATTCATAAGGATAGAACATGCAAAGGATCTCTCTCAATTGAAAAAATTCTTAAAGTTAGTACATGGAAAGCAAATACTAGTTTATTGTTCAAATATAACTCATCTCGAAATATCATATTACCATTCACTTTTAGATAAAAAAATCATAAGCATTGTATATTCATGCTCAAATATAACCCATTTGAGTTTCATAAATAGCATAAGATTTAGTAATAGAGTATTAGAGCTGATAGCGGATTCATATCTGAATCTGAAGTATCTCAATTTGTGCGATGATTGGTCAGGTGGCTTTAGAAGCTTTTGTGTTCAAGAAGTGGATGATGAAGGTCTAACTGCAATCACAGATTCATGTCATAAATTAGAATGTCTAAATATTTCTAATCGCAGAGAGTTTTCTGAAATATCAATTTATAATGTTATTTGTTCCTGCCCAAGATTGATATTTTCTTTTGTGAAATTACTGATATGGCTATCAAAGAAGTGCTAGATCATGTCTTAATTTAAAATATATTAATTTGAGAGGGTGTTATATTAGTAAAGAAGTCCTAGATCAGCTAAATCCAAATACTCATGTCGAGATTTTTTGAGGTCCATTTGATAATCAAGCTGTGATAGAGCAAGTGATAAGACGGCTATATAATACCCAACCTCCAGTTGCTAATATTAGAATTCAGTTTCACTAGTCATTCTGACAACCTAATTCCAATATATTTATGACAGTTGACTCTGATGCTGATCATCCCATTATAGCTATAAACAGACGATCACTGAGAAATTATTTTGATAGAATACTAGTCGGTCAAGCAGGATGATGGAACTCTATTGATCTAACTAATCTGATCAGTGATCGCGTAATTTTATTTTTTCGATTAAATACTATTTATGGTGCATTCAAGCATTTTTATTATACTAGAACTATTAAAGCGAATTCTATATTTTCTAGTAGTAGATAAGATACTGTATTCTGCTCTATTTGTATCCTGATTATGGTACAGATGCATAGCTTTTATTCTATAGAAACACATTGAGCTAAAGGGGAATGACTTGAGATATTAGCACTATTTTCCAGATAGATATGTTTATCATGAGAAAGATCATATTCGATTGGAAAGATTTGTAAAAATATTATACAAAGAGCATAAGCCAGCTTATGTCTTAAATACAACTTATCTAGAAATTACTTTTTACCATTCACTTTTAGATAAAAAATAAAAGTATTGTAGAAACATTTCTGAATATAATTCATTTAGATTTCAAAGATAGTATAGGTTTTAACGATAAATCACTATTTGTAATAGCGGAATCATATTCTGGAATGCTCAATTAACTGATAAAGGTTTATATGCAATTGCGCGATCATATTATAAATTAGAATATCTAAATATTTCTTATTACAGAAATATTAGCGATAAATCTTTGTTTGAAATCGCAGGAAATTGTCATGATTTGCAAGAGTTTTATTTTGCCGAAGCACGTTGGATCACAGGATAGATCTATAAGTTGCATCTTAAACTCATGCCTAAATTTACAAAAACTTGATATTGCGTTTAGTCGTAGAGATATCAAAAATGCTAGTACTTTAATATGAAGATATTTTAATATAGAGTATCTTGACTTTAGTGGGATTATGGCTTTGTAGAATGATGTATTAATTATAGCTATTATCAAATGATCTCTGAATTTGAGACATATAGAAATTAATGATAATGATATTGATGATGAGATTACTGAAGCGTTAGCCCATACTTGTCATAAATTGAAATATCTCGATCTAAGTTGCTATTTTTTTGTTAGTGAACCATCGATTTGTAATGTTATACGTTCCTGCCCAAGACTCCAGCATCTCAAACTCAGATACTGTAATATTACCAGTATAACTATCAGAGAAATTGCTCGCTTATGTCTCAATTTAAAATTTCTAGATTTGGAAGGATATGAAAATATTAGCAAAAAAGCAATGAATCAGCTCAATCAAAACATTTATATCAATAATTTTGATAAAGAATACTGCTCTAATTCAGAATCTTCAAGCTCTGGCCCTGAAACTGAATTAAATGATGAGGATGTCTATAGTAATAATGCGCCTCTTCCTATGTTTATGAGTATGATTGATACTACAAACGATTTTATTTCTGAACTTATTAATCAGAACAGTAATCATTAGTTCAGAAGAATTTGCTGATCCATGCACAATGTCTGTATCTTCATTTTTTTTCTTTGAGATTTTGAATTCACTCTTCCAAAGTCAAGATTATGGTTCGTAAAAAGAATAAAAGACATATTCAATCTACACTATTGGTAACTTCAGCCAATGAGAATCAGCCCAAAAGTTTGACAGTAATGGATACAGAATTGCGAGAATTTATTCGTCAAGGTCTAGTAGTTGATGAAGTTTACGAAGTATAATCATATGATCAAAAAATATGCCTTGGATTGATAACTTTATTAATCTTTCGATTAAGCTCAAAAACCAATGTGATGATCCAAAAGAAAAAGTATATCACTCCTTAGTATGAAGGCATTTCGTGATGCATCCAGTCAAGATGGTCTCATTTCTAAGGCAGAATATTATGGAAATAAAGTAGACAACCGCATAGCGGATCAAGGGTAATAAGGAAGGAGTGGTAGATTTGCTTAATGATGCCGAAAATAAGGGTCCAGAATCTCCCAGTCAAATAATCATTTTTTAGAAGTTATAGGCTTATAGCACAGACCTGAAAATTGCGCAGTACAATATCGGGAAAATTCTTGCCGAATATCATGCGCAGTAAGTACGTCATCTTTATACTTCTCCTGTAATTTAACTACGCCCCATGCTATTTCCGCAGTGATTTTATTTTTAGATCCAGATGTGCTATTTTCGTAATAATGGTTTAGAAGGGGCTATTTTTGTAACAATGAAGCTAGGGCCAAGGTCTTATGAAACGCGTCAGATATTTTGCAAATCTATGGGGTTAGACCGTGTTTACCTCGAAATGGAGAATCATATTCTTTTGCAGTATATGATCCTGCTTCTATTGGTTGGAAGTGTGAAGAGTCTTCACAATTATCATATGACACAGCATACATGTATGGCGGGCTACAGGAATAGAATTTCGTCGTTGGGTAGTCCCGCACCATGTAATTTATTTTAGCTTAATGTATTGCAAATAAAAAACGTTTAGGGTACTAAGTGACCCGAGCAATATAGTCAAATATTTTTCTCGTGGCGATTGGTAACAATCTTTTAGACCGTACATACTATTTTTTTTATTGTTCGAGAGTATGCATGTTAATACAGGACAAATTAGAGCCAGTGAAGATCTAGGGGCTTTTATTCTCAAACTTTCTCGCATATTCTCAAAATTATTACGTATATTTTTGTAAAAGGGCCCCTTGATGATCTTTATATATAGATAGCATTAAATTCTTTTTTGTTAAATTAAGGGGATGTTATTGATCAGATTTTCGTGATGCGATCATATTAACGTAATTTTTCCCCAAAGTGTATTCCAAGATCGATCCTGCAAATTGTATAAAAAGATGATGTCCCGGTTAGTGAATCCTTTTATCTGCCTCACGCAAGAAAAGCAAAAATCGAACGAAAAATTCAAACTGATCAAATCTTACATCAACAATATCTCTAATCAAACGAACTTGTATTTTCCGCAAAATAATAATAAAGTAAGTTGGTTTATAGCTCGGCTAGCTTCTTGAATCATGTCATCACGATGTTAATCGATATTCTCGCCTCTACAGATGTTCCAAAACAAACCGGACATAATACTCTTTTTACTATATAAAAATTTACTATTGAATTTTTTTTTGTAATTACAATATATTTTTTTTTTCAAATTACGGGAGACTGGTGGAATTTCCTAGTAACTAATCCGAAATTTTAAAAATTTGATAAGTTATGCTGTATTAGTTTTTATGCAATTCCAAATAATTAAATGAACATAGGATAACTTTAAAAAAGTCGAAATATAGCGTTTTTTTGAAAAAAACTGCAGAAAAAAATTTTTTTTTCTGTAAAGTAATAGTTCTAACGTTTATTTTATGACTTTTCTGTGTCTTTTTGGGAAAAAGCTTTCTAATACATGAAAGAGCTAATGACTTATAATACTTTCGCAGAATTTAGAACACGAAAGGTAAGTAGAATTCCAAGTTATGGAAGTGCGAAAATATATTGATTTTAATATGAAATTTATTATAAGATAGCTTAATATGAAAAAAAATTCAATAGTAAATTTTTATATTATACCATATATAGTTTTGATTTAATTAGTTGACCGAACACCCCAATGAAACGTATGATAACAGTACGGCTAGTGAAAACTATTGAAAAATATTATATATTTTTAATTTGCAACTTACAAAAAATAAATAAGGAATTACAAAAATACAATATAATCATTCTTCAGTATCAAATATCTGAGTTTCGCTCAAGTTTCAATTTTTGTGAAACTGACGTCCATTCTTTTGTCGATGAGTCGATGACAAATCTCTAAGAAATGATGTAAAGAATGAATTATTTTAAAAGTATTTTGCATGTAAAATCTCAGAAATTTTACACCATCTAAACGTGCTATTTCATCGACACATTCAAATCTTCAAGTTTGTCTTCGATTAATTCTCTCTGATTTTCTTATAGTAGTATGATTCGAAAAAAATTTTAGATTCTATAGCATCATGAATTTGATGGTCTTTAATATTAATTTTCAAGGAAGGTTTGGCATAGTTAATTTCCAATCTGGATTTGAATACTGCATAACTTTGATATTGTTAAGAAATAAAATTCGAAATAGAATCTAACTATTTCAAGGTCGATTACACCGCTCTTTTATTAGTTATTAGTTATGGTACGCCCATAATCTGGTATGTGCATATTATTCAAAAATTCCCATGAAATATTTTCGTTGACTATAAATTCTCTTAAGCTAGTTCGGACGTTTTAAAATTAGCTATTAATATATACTGTATGAAATAAACAAAATTCTAATCATAAAAAAAAAATTTACTCATGAAATTTAATTAAAGGCTTCCAGTGACAATACTTTGGACATTTACGTTATTGGAAGATCACACACTTGTTTACATAAGATCCAATTAAAAAACAACTGGTATGGAACAAAAATGTTTTACGTTATGGTATGGATCGCTGTCATATATGATTAATTGAATAACGATAAATTTTGTTGTTAATTTATTTTTTTGTTAAAAATTATAAAAGATTGTTCCTTGTAGTTTGAAACCTTAATGCAGACCCATACGTTTGTATTATTATTAATAGAAAATCCAATCCAAACCTGTTTTTTTGGCCTATGATATAATGCCACCATTAATTAATATGTTACACACGTAAGTATTTATCAACCGTTTTTGTACTCAAATAATATATTGTTTGAATATTTAAAGGCAATTAATGTGATACATTTCAAAAAAGTACAAATATATTTCTTTATAAATTTGCTTTTCCCAAACCCCACATCACATCACCCACACATTTATATAATTAAAATAAAATGACTTATAAACTTCCTGTTGAGTGTTTAAGTGAAGTTTTTGAATATTTGTCGAAGGATAAAATTTCCTTACATTCATGCTTATTAGTCAATCGTCGTTGGAGTGAAATCGCAGTTAGAATTTTATGGAGAGATATTTGGAGATTTTATGTTTTTTGTGAGAATCATGTTAAAACATCATTATCAATTTTTCGTACCTTGATCGCTTATTTTCCAAGTGAATCAAAAGACCTTTTACTAATGAATGGTATTGATATCCCAACACCTATCGCGAAAACTCCATATTTTAATTACGTCTCGTTTATAAAGGTCCTTTCTTTTCCTAATATTGGTCAAATTATTGAAGTTTTAATGGATCAACGAAATAATATTTCACAAAGCTTAGACTATAATGAACATCTGGTATCACAGGAACTTTTAAAAGTCTTGATGAAACATTTCTCATGTATAAAAACTTTGGATTATTGTACTGAAACTTCAAGAATCACTCAAAATATACCTTTTACATATTTTCCTGGAGCGACCGAATGTTTAGCAGATGTGACAACTTTGAATTGTGATTCAGACATAATATTATGTCCTCAAATGTTTCGAAAGATACAATCACTATCCATAACATTTGTTGATACTGTTTCTGATGAGTTGGTTCAATTAATTCATTCTCAACAAAATTTAAAACATTTAGAATTAAATACTCAATTCGATATGAATTGGCCAATCATATTACCCACTTTCGAATCCGCCTTAAAAAAACATTATCATACTTTAACAAAATTATATATTTATGGTTGTGAAACTCCAATATCATTTATCTCTTCATGTTATAATTTACAAGAATTGGTAATTTCAATTTTTCCTATATTTCCTACGGAATCACAACCTCCTTCTGATGTTTTCGATGAATTGCAACTTGCTACTTTTCCAAATTTAAAGATCTTCAAAATTCCTTATGATATTCCAAAAATTGAAATTTTAATAAAATTCTTGGAAATGAACGGAAAGAACCTCAATGAACTAAGAACAGGTTTAGATCATGCTGATAATTCATTGAATAGATCCATAGCTCAATTCTGTCCGAACCTTAAAAAACTTACCTTAAATTTTGAAAATGATGAAATAGACTCATTGAAATACATATTTGCTCATTGTCAAAGTTTAGAGAGCATTATAATTTGGTGTAAAGATAATCGGTTAAATGGTGTAGATTTGTTTGAAGTTGTTGTAAAACATTCACCAAAGAATTTTTGTGAATTAAAGATAGATTTGGATTTTTTATTCCTTCCAAAAGATTTGGAAGTTTTCTTTACAAGTTGGTGGGATCGAACTCCACGAAAATCTTTAAATTTGGTTATTTTTAAAAACAATTTTAATTCAGGAAAATGTAAAGTAAGTAAAGAGAATATTAAAATAATTAAAAGATATAAAAAGTTGGGCATACTTAAGGAATTTGAAATTACCGATCTTTATGAATTAGAATAGAATCATTAACGTTTTACTTTTATTTCTTTAATTATATTATTTTTTTTTATTAACCCAAATTTTTTTTAACAATTAATAAATTTTACATATTTTTTTGTGTTACATTTTCCAGGTGAAATGTAATTAAACCATTTTATTTCTTTTGACCTCTTAAAATTATTTGTTGAATTAAAAACTAAACGTTATTTGACAAAAAGAGCGGGAAATTATATAATTTCAGTAGATTTTTTTTTTTTTTTTTTTTTTGAATATTTCACAAGTATCAAGATAAATGTAGGCTGAACAGCAATTTAAAATAGTCATATGAGGCTCGAAATATTTATACTTAGAATCTTTTCGACTTTGTCCTTCGGCCACGTAAAATACAAAATTAATTTAATGGATAATAAGTATTATTTTTTTATCGTGTATTTGTTTGAAACTAGTAAATACCCGGTGGGTTTATACCCGGGTTTATTAAATCATGTGACTTTGCTTGTGATATTTAAAATTTAAAATAACTGAAATAAAATCACCACGGGTAATTTTTATGAATAAGTTTAACAAGTTTAACGGCGAAGAATAGATTTGACAATTTTTGCAGAATCCTCCAAATCTATTCTATTTTTTTCAAGAACTCTTAAATGAGCTCAATTTGAGATTCCTTATTATTATTATCTTTGCAAACAAATACATAGTTTTACATATAAAAGTAGAAGAATCCTATCAATAAATGCTTAATTTGAACAAGTGTTGCTATAATGACCAAACTCTCTACATTTGCCATATCTACGACTCTTTTCATTATTTATTTCACTCTTATTAATATTTGTAATATCTTGTAATACACCTTCTTGTAACCCATAGGAATCAAACCAAAATTTATATAGAAAAGTTAGATTGTCAACAAATGTTAATCTTTTATTATCATTTTCTTCCATTTTTGTGGATAAAGAAAGGAATGTAAAATGGAAGAATTACAAAGGAAATAACAAAAAAAAGTTGTGAAGGTTATCGTTATTAAAAAAAAGCTTAAAGTTTATTACTTTTGAGTAATATGATGTAATTTGATGTAAATTCACGTGATCATATCAGGTGGGTAGAAACCGTTAAAATATTTACAGTATCTATATAATTATAAAATTTGAATACCAATACTCAAACTTTAAGTATGATTTCAAGATTCTGCATTTTGAAACCAGCCTAGATATCTTCAGGGACAACAAAATATAAACGCATTTTTTCCGATAAAACTTTGCCAAGCCATTGACTGACAGTCATTTGGGAAAGTTGGTTTAGAGGAATGAGCAAGTCAATTGCGCAAAATGTTTTTAATTTTGGTTGAAAATATTTGGTACTGTCATTGATAATTTCATCAACTTTTCCAAAACTTTCAAATTCAGTCTCTGAAATACTGACAATTTCATCAGCAATTAATGAAGTATTCAGCGATCTGATACGAAAATGTCCTTCTCGTCTAATGAGATTTTGAGAATACCCTTCCCCGAAGGCTACTTGTTTCTGTTATTCTTTTTCTAACGATCAATTATACTCGTTTTTTTCTTATTATTTATTCTTTGCTATAAGTCCTAAGATATAAAAAAAATTTTATTCTCGACCTATTTAAAATTTTTGCCTATCACTTTTTGTTAACGTACCGTATGCTAATGCGAAATCTGTACTACGTTATTGCAATATAATTATCATCCATATGAATTTAAATTTTTTTTTCCTAATAAAGATTTTTAATTTACAAATGAAGGATAAAGATTGTAAATAATTTGTTCATTTTTTTAACTATTTTATTTATCTTTAATTATTTATTTTAATTGAAACTTCAAATATTTAATGATTATAGATTGTAAGTCATTTAATTCTTTTATATTTTACATTATTTATTGAACTTAATCAAAATTCTTCATTTAATAAATAATACAGATAGTTAGTTATTTTGATCTGTTTTTACTATTGAATATGTAATTTTATATTTAATAATATGATCAACATAGAATATAAGTAATTTTTAATGATTTTAAGACCTTTTTTAATATGTAACTAAAAATTTGCAAAAAAATTTTAATTATTAATAATATAGATTGTAAGTAACTTTAGTAATTTTATAAATTATTCTTTTTTTTTGTTTAATATATATAAACTAAATTATATTTAAAAAATAAACATATGTAAAAATAAAGTTATAAAGGATAAATTATTTTATTAATATTCATTCTTTAATTAATATATTTTAAATATACTGATTTTTATTTTTATAATTGACATTTGCAAAGGAAATTTATTCTTATTAATTTTTTTAATTATAATTTTTTTGGACATTTAATTTATTAATTTAATACAAGTATTATTTTATCTATTTTTCATAATTATTAACATTATTCTAAATTTACTTTAGATAATAAATTACATTTTAACCATAATTTATTAAATTTTATAAATTTTATTTTTTATTTTTTTTTAAATTAAATTATTTAAATTCTTTTCAAAATTATAGATAGTAAGTTATTCTTATTAATATTGAAATATATTTATGATAAACTTTATTCAATTAAATTTTTATTAAAATATATTATTAATAAATACTTTTATAATTAGTAAGTTTTATTTTTATATAAATTATATATAATTAATATTTAGTCTATATATTTTAAATTATATATTTACATACTAGTCAAAATCATTTCTTTTAACATTAATACCATTCGGTTAATATCCAGCTGATTCGATTATATAATTCAGCAAAAATTCAGCTTAAGCTACAAAAATCAATAGTCATTTGTTACATTATATATAATTTAATATTATTTTAGTACTAAGATCTTTTGGCAAACCAAACATTCAGCTGATTCAGTTATACCATTTGGCAAAAATTCAGTTCAAGTTTAAAATTTGTTAAAAATTATAACAAATCTACTATCATTTGTTACATCACATATAATTTAGCATTATTTCGATACTAAGACCTTACAATAAACATTTAAATAATTCAGTATGGAAAATTTCAGTTATTCTTTAAATTCGACATGAAAATTATAATAAATTGACTGTCATTTATTACATTGTATATAATTCAGCATTATATTAATCAGGTTTTAGTTTATTATGAAAAATTTATATTACAAAATAAAAGT